GGCTTTCGAGGCTTATTTTATATATAACTGTCGAATATATCTATTTCGAAACAAGCAGCAGACGAACAATTTTTTTGGTAAAATGCAAGCAAAATAAAAAACCAAAAAAAAAGAAACGTAAGAAAAGTAAAAGAAGAAAAGATAAAAAAAAAACAACACTGTAGTGCCTACTCCCCTTAAAAAAGAAAAACAAAATAAAAATAAAATAAACAAAAAAAAACACTAAAAAATAAATATATATATATACAATACATATATACATTATACATACTAAAGTAATATTTTATAAAAACGCAGAGAGGAAAAACTAAAAAAAAAAGAAAAGAAAATGCAAGGAGAGAGGATTAAAAAACGGAAATTGATGTTTTTTTGATAGTTATTTTTTTAGCGAGAGCAATGGGAGGCATTGAGATCTATATATACATATATATATATAACTAAATATACATACACAACTATTATATATATATATATATACATTAGTATATGTTATACACACACAGACTCTCACACACATTAATACATACTTATGGCATGTAAAGTAATTAGTTTCTGACGAATTAAAGACAGGAGAAAATACTAGCAGAAAACTGCAGCGAGAACAATTTTAGGCAGTTTTAGTAATACTACATACACTTACACACACACACACACACACACATACATATATACAACCAAATCAAACAACAAACAAAGTAGAAACAACAACAACAAAGTAGTTTTGCATATCCCAAAAAAATAAGAAAGAGAGTGAAAGAAGCGAAAGCGGAACGATAACGAGAAAGGTTAAAGGATGGAAGGGAAAGCCCTCTAAAATGAAACAAAAACCCACACACAGAAAATTTATCACAGAAATTAAATGACATAAAATTAGTTTTTAGTGAAAGAAAATCGACAAAAAAAAATGAAGTATTTTCACAATTGAAAGCTAAAGCATATTTAATAAATTTAAAAGAAGAACCCAAAAACAAAAACAAAAAACAACTGAACAAAGAAATGTTTCGACTTGAGCGCAAAAAAGAAAGATAGACATTTTTAGCCTTCCTCCAAAATCATTTTCAAACCAATAATTTACACAGACCCACACCCACAGACCCCACACAAACGAAACAAAGACTCCCCGAAAGCTGTAGTTGTTTTTGTTTCAATTGAGTTTGAATTGAGAAAATTCAAGAAATGCAAGGGGGCAAAATAATTATATAAAATATAATCGAAACACATAAAACAGCTGAGAAATGAGAACAAATGAATAGCAAAATAATAGTTTTAGTAAACGACGGTTGAGACAAATTTTTTAAGTTCCCTATTGAGGCTCACATTCACATACATAATTTAAAATATTTTTTAAAACAATTATTATTTGTTTGTTTGTAGACACTTATTTTTTTTAAACTATTTTCTTTAAGTTTTGAAACCTAAATCAATATAAAACCAATCGAAAACAGCTCTAGTAAAATACATAAATTGAGTATTCAAAGCATTCCAAGAAATTCGATGAGACCCAGACAAGAACAAGAGCTGTTTTCTGCCTAAAGAGAGGCGGTTGAAAGAAATAACAAAACAACAACATACATATATAACAATATGAAAAACCATAAATCCGATGAGTGGTTAAACAAAAGCAAAAGCAAAAGAACCAGATCAAGATCACGAACCAGAACCAGAACAAGAAGAAGAACAAATAGCTGCAATACGTTATGATTACGTCAATATGTTCCTACAATATAGACATACAAGAATACATAAATAATTTATATGAATAGATATATACTTAACTAACTGTAAACACAACACAACACAAAACAAAAGACAAAAAAAAAACCACAAAAAAATGAGAAGTAAGAAAGTTATACAATAATTAATTTAAGGCATTCCGCAAAGAGAGCCTTCACTAAGAGCAGCAGCAGCAGGAGCAACTAACTAACTAAATCTAAATCTTGAAAATAGATCAAAACACGAGAATATGTATGTGCGACGAGTATAGGGGCAGAAAACGAGCGAGTTATCGTTAGTTTTTTAGTTCCAGCCTCGGAAATTTCACATATTTAGTTTCAGTTTCAGGCTTCATTTATCCATTTTTCATTTATTCGTAGACTAAGTTGAACGATTTCCACTATTATTTATTGAGCGAGCGAGCAAGCGAGTACGAAGTATATGAATAAAATTATTTAAAATTAATTAAATTAATTCAAGATTAAATTAAAATTAAAATATAAAATACTATAAACGGCAATTTAAGTTCCAATCGATACACTTTAGTTTTCATTTATTTTTTTTATTATTATTATGATTATTATTGATTACAGTCGAAATAAGATTTTGATATTTTGTGGCTAATAAAAAACCTAAACAAAAAAAAAATGAAAGAAACCAACAAAAAAGACAAATAAACAAAATATATGAATAAATATATTTGATGATAATTTCGTTCATTCATTCAGTCTCATGTAGATTCCACACACACACACTCATACACACACACAAACACGTACAGTCATACTGGAACTGGAACTAGTTCGCAACACACACAACTGTACTTTGTACACTGTGTACTTTATAATGCAAGAGAGCTTGACGGGAACTCAACAGATATACAATGTATGGGAAATAACAACAAAATTATTATTAAAAAAACAAACAAACAACAAAAAAAAAGTGAAAAACGGAAGGTTAAAAATATTACGCTAACTATATATATTTTTTTCGTAGTTGGAATGAGAATTCAAAATACAAAAAAGAAAAGAAAAAAAACATAAACCAAAAGCACTGAGCAAAATAATACATTACTCAAGAGAGAGCTCTCAAACTCAACTCAACTCGATTCGATTCGTTTCGATGCAACTCAACTCGTTTTGGGAGTTGTCCCAATGCTGAATAACGAACCATTTAAACTAACTATACAAGAACTAAGAAGAGCAGCTTATCAGGCACCAAATAAAGAAAAGAAAAACAAAACAAAACAAAAACCACAAATAGAATCAATCAAGATGAATATTTTAGAATGAAATGAAATTCAATTACTTACACATACACACAAACACACTGTCGAACAAACCACAGACTCAAGCAAACATATTTTAGGCAAAAACAAAAAAAATCGAAAGAAATAAAAAAACACGCCCAAAACATACACAAACAAATTTATAAAAAAAACTATTACAAAAGAAAAAGATAAAATGAAAAAAGAAACAAGAAGAATTAAGATGAGAAAATTATTTAAGCAAAGCAAGGCATATCATAGTTTATAACAAACAACCAAAAAAGAAAACACACAAGGAAAATGGAAAGAGAGCAAGCGAATAAAATAAAGATTCTGAACTGATTCCCCCAGAGAACACACTAAAGTCAGTGCAGTCCGCCGCCTACCGAGCAGAGCATCCCACAACCTCCCCCCCCCTTCAATCCACCAACCCTCCTACAAAATCCAACTCCGAAAAACAGAAAGGGAAGAAAAGTAAGGCTAACGAGAGGGAATCAAGACAGCAAGCAAAAGAAAGGGAAGCAGACAAACTACAGACAAAAAAAATGAGAGGAAAAACAAATAACAAAAAACCATATAGGATCAGCAGGATCAAGTGCGCAGGATCAGTCATATATAGCTAGCTATATAGTCTATGCCTAACAAAAACCAAAACAAAACAAAACAAAAACATTTCTAGTAGTCGAGATCGAGAAGTAAGCGATGGAAAATGAAAGCGAAATTTGTACCCACACATACATAAGCACACAAAACACACACACATACGAGACCCTCTCTCACACACACACACACACACACGGAACAAATACAAACAAAGAGTAAAGAATGAAAGAATAAAGACGATGTAGCTGAAGAAGCTGAAAATGGGGGGAAAAACAAAAACATGAAAAAGATGATGAAATAAAATTCTATATAAATAGAAATATTGAAAAATATTTTATGCAAAATTTGAGTTTTTATTGAATACATAACTGGACATGGCCCAAGCCATGGAAGAACAGGTACCCACATAAGTATGTGCCCACAGAACGTTGCGAAAATGTGAGACGAGCCCTAAATGAGACAAAGCGCATATAATGATGATAGAATATTGATATATGTGTATTATCTTGATGAGGCTCTCTCATTGATTCGAAAACGTACTGCTAAAACATACACCAAACGAGTACGGTTCGGAAGTGTAAGCAATTTTGGAGATACCCAGAGTAGATTTTATGTATAAACTTGTACTCTTTCTGCCTTCAAAACATTCCAATTGCCTTATGGTTCTGAAACGTACTGTATTTGAGAATAGTCTAGAATATTTCTGGATTATTTTGTGTGTGTCTCCCCTTCCCCCACCCCTCTTTTTGTTCTAAGAAAACTTTTGTGCCCAACTGTACTCAAGCAAAAGTTGGTGCGCAGCCAACTTCAGACACGTAAGTATGCTCTTCTACTACTCCTAACGCTTCTTTTGATTTCCTCCCCCCCCCCCTACCCCTTCTTTCTTTCTTTCTTTACCACTACCACTACCTCTTTCTCTTTTCATTTCGATTCTTTACATATATATTCATTTGCCAGATCTGCCAGATATATAGTTTTTCTATATGTATTTATAGATGTGATTTAAGTGTGTGCTTGCTTTGCTTTTAATTGTGTAGAGAGCCTTGCATGTGTTTTTACAAATGTCTGTAGCCCCATCACAGAATATAGACCCTCTCCCTTAACACACACACAAATACACACACACCCACACACACACACACACATACAGCATTAAGCTAGAGGAATACCCCATAAGCAGTTTAGAAGCAAACAAAAAAAATCACTTATTATATAATATATCTAGACCAAAAGCCCGCCCAAAAACTGCGGTCCCCGCCCCACAAAAAAAAAAAATAAAGGAAACCCCACACCCGCCCCCCCCTGACCACGAAACAGTACGAGGCAGCACGAAGAACTGCCCAACACTGTTTTGTTTAGCCAAGCGTTGACCAACACTAATGAGCTGTGTACCAAACCCTTTTTGAATGCCCCACAGCTGCTGCGCAACTTCAGCTCTCCGATGAGCGCCATGGCCGCCAGTCGCTGCCCCACGCCATTCGCCTTCCCCTTCACGCCGCTGGGCCTGAGCCTCTTCGACATTGATCCGTCCAGAATACTTAGCCTGCTGCACCATCAGACCTGGCTGGCCGAAGAGGCACTGAGGTGAGTATCAATAACACAGACGACACAGAGAGAGAATTTCTACTTGATGTTTTATATGTGTGCAGGACTCGGGGTTTGCTGGCAGCACCCAAGGATTTCACCCACCGTTTTACCACTTTAAGCGATCTGCTGACCAAGGACTATCAGCCGGTTGTCGGCCAGTCCCCAACGACGGCCACGTCCACGGCCACGACAACGACAACGAGCCCATCGTATGCCAAGCAGACCACAACGAACCGTTCCAGCGATGTACAGTACAAACAACAGCAACAACAGCCACAACCTCATGCAGGATCTGCACCAGTGGGCGCTCCAGGCACCTCCTCCTCTGGCGGAGTGGCGGCAGCCTTCAACATGCGCTACCCCACACCGACAGCCTTCTACCAGCAGCAGCAGCAGCAGCAGCAACAGCAATCGAAGGCGCCCAAGTCCTCGCCCTCGCCCCAACAAATGGCCACCAGCTCCACCTCCATGGCCTGCAGCATCGCCATTGAGTCCGGCAGCGGTGGCGATGACAGCTGCAAGCGCAGCTCGGCGGACAGCGACGAGGTGACCATCGTGGAGTTGCCCAGCGAGCGGAGCGCTCAGCTCTACAAAGAGTCGCTGGAGCAGCTGCTGCAGCGACGCCGCATCACCAGCAACAGCAGCAGCAGCAGCACACCCGGTGTGGGGCCGGTGGTGAGCTGCCCGCCCACTGGCGGCGTCGGTGGGGTCATTGTCGATGCCACCGGCCTGAGGCAGTACACACAGCTGTTGCTGTCGGGTGCCGGCACACCGGCCAGCTGCACGGACACATCGAGCAGCTGCAAGGAGAAGAGCTCCTCATCGTCTACCTCATCGACGCCGCCGCCCAGCTCCTCGCTGCTGGCGCAGCATCAGCAGCTCAGCCAAATGCTGAAGAGCCCCTCGGACACGTGCTCCTCGCTGTTCAGCGGCTCGGAGCCCATCGAGGAGGAGACCCGCTGCGTCGTGTGCAACGCCCACTTTCCCAATGTGTGGCTGCTCGAGCAGCACGCCGCCCTCCAGCACCCGCATGTGGGTCCCGGCGAGGAGAAGCCCTTCATCTGTGAGCAGTGCGGCCAGTCGTATCGCTACCGCAGCGCATACGCCAAGCACAAGGAGCAGAATCACCGGGCCCGCCTGCCCGCCGACAAGCTCTTCACCTGCGACGTCTGCGGCATGCAGTTCCGCTACCTGAAGAGCTTCAAGAAGCATCGCCTCAACCACGCCCTCGAGCGACTGCACGGCAAGAAGACCATCGGAGTTGTCGGACGCCTGGGCGGCTCCCTGTCCGTCTCGGTATCGACTCCGGCAGCGGCCGCTGCATCGGTGGGTCCCGTCGTGTCCACTCAAATGGACCAGGATGTGGTGACCAGCTCCCAGGAGCCGATGCTGGCCGATGAGGGCGAGGATCTGCGGGTGAATGTTAAGCGCGAGGGCGCAGACGAGAGCTCCTCCACCCATCCAGAAGCTGGTGGCGGCGGCGGCAGTGAAGAGCACGAGCAGGACAACACCATCGACTCGGCGGGCATCACGATGCTCTATCAGGACAACAACTCCTCGGCCTCGGCCTCCACCAGTGCCACGGAGCCGAACATAAGCAGCTCCGATGGCATTCATAGTACAAACAAGCGGGTAAGTCAACTGAATGCCACTTGGACAGCCTCCCACTCACCGCTGCTGTTGCCTCTCTTTCAGTCGCGAATGCACCACTTGGAAACGGATCCCTCCTACCCACACCACCATCACCACCAACAGCAACATCATCACCATCATCATCAGCAGCAGCAGCAACAGCAGCAAGGGCAGCTGCCACCTCATCTGGGTCATCATGTCTCACTGCCAATGGCGGCCAATGCTGCGGCTGTTGCGGCTGCTGCCGGCTCCTCATCGTCATCGGTTGCAGCTGCCGCTGTTGCTGCGGCCAATGCCGCCGCTCAGGCGGCCAATTCCAGCTCAAATACTGTGGGCGTGGCCAGTGGAAATATTAGCGGAGGCGGAGGCGGTGCCGGGTCCGCTGGCAGCGGCATCAGTTCACTCAGCTCGCTGACATCGCTGATCAACGCCGAACGGATACCGAACGAACAGTTCCTGGGTCTCAATCCCCAGGAGGCGTCGATACTGAATTTCTTGCGCGTCGATGCCGCCGAGCGACAGCGGGACAAGCGGTAAGATTTATCTGATAACATTTTAAGTGCGCGTAGATCACTAAATCAAATTCTGGTATCTCTGGTAATTGATAGGCCGGCCACCTCACGCTTTGCATGCCCCTTCTGCGGCAAGTGTGTTCGCTCCAAGGAGAACCTCAAGCTGCATGTGCGCAAGCACACCGGCGAGCGTCCGTTTGTGTGCCTGTTCTGTGGCCGGGCATTTGGCGGCAAGTCCGATCTGACCCGCCATCTGCGCATCCACACGGGCGAGCGGCCCTACCACTGTGAGTCGTGCGGCAAATGCTTCGCACGGGCGGACTATCTATCGAAGCATCTCACCACCCACATTCACAATGCGCCGCGCTGAGATGAGGCGCGTAGGAGGCGGCTCCTACGCAGATAAGGAACCAGCAGTAGCAGTCACGTCACACACACACCAGCACACACCAACACACACCAACACACACACACACAGAGGCAGAAACTACAGGAAGAGCGTATATAGAAATTTATGTATATTATTAACAAAAACGCAAAAGAAAAAAGAAAAAATCTCTTCTTTTTTTTTTTGTTTGTGTGGTATTTTTTTTTTTTTTTTTTTGGTGCAAGACAAAAAGCAAAAAACAAATATTGGCAATTATTAGCACGGGTATTAAAGTGTTTTAAGATCTATCTACCTACTAAATATGATATTGAATATCTAACTCTCTCTCTATACTATATAAATACATGCATACGCACATGCATACGCGCGCGTGTGTGTGTAGTTACCATAAATTGTAATTGTAATTATTTGTAGCACAAAGTTTTCAAAATGTTCTTTGTTTTGGTTGCGATGGTATCGATCGATTGAATTAGGTCCAAAAATATTTTTAAAAAAAACCAATTTTGACTAACGTTTTGGTTCGTTTAAGAATGAAACTCATTTCCGCACGTAACAAACTAAAAGAAAACAAAACAAAACAAAAACAACAGAATGCAATACAAATACCAATATACCATATACCATATACCAATATAGTCTGTATTTACTACCGAAACAAATGACGAAGAATGAAAAGAATATGTACCACAAATCTGCCGTTTATACTATACACAATAGATAAAATATATATAATTTTACATTGATTTAAAAGAGAAGCTAAACTAGCAACAATTTGTACAAAACAAAAGCGAATCAGAAACTAATAACTAAACTAATAGTATGAGGGAAGGCGTCCAAGGAGCTACCTTCCTCTAGAGTATGATGAAATGCAAAATGCAAAATGCAGCAAACAAATGCAATAACTGAGAGCAAACACTGTTACCTACCATAGACAACAATAAACCGAGTTGGATTTTAGTTAATATTAGTGACAAGACAGCAACTAAGAATCAAAAGAAAACAAAACAAGAAAATATCTGAAACCCCAAAATAGAGGCAGCAGACAGAACGAAACAGAAACAGAAACCACTAAGAAACCGTTAACTCAACGTTAAACCTAAACTAAAACTGTCAAAAACTGTCGGAAAAACTGTCAAAACTGTGCAACTGTTTGGTTTTCGTTTCAGAAGCGATTCGTTCGTTCTAGCTGAAAGCATTATATGTACCAAGATGGCTAGAATTATAAATATATATATATTATAAAAGCTAGGAGATACAAATAGGATTTTACTTACAATACAATACAACAACTGCAATGTGCATGTGCAACCACCGTCAATAGTTTAATTTACAATATACAAAATACAATATACAAAGGCAAAGGCAGAGGCAAACGCAAACGCAAACGCAAATCAAAAACTAAATGAAAAACAAAACGAAACAAAAAACATATAGCAACAATTAACAATAGCAACTACAACTACAACAACACAAAACTAACTGTGATTACAACTGAAAATAACATTGAAGTTTTAACTGACGTAAAAGCTGAACAGGCATTAAAAACATACATACATACATACATAGATTATACATAAAGATGACAAACCAAACACACACACTGGCAAACAATAGAAAGAGAAAAAAACAAAAAACCGAAAGTAACGAAATGTGCAATGAAACAATAAAACAAAAGAAACACCCGCCACTAAAGAACCCAACCCCCACCCCACCCATCTCCAAAAAAATACGACACCAGATATTCACTTAAATGTTTATCATTTTTTTTATATGCATCAAAAAATTAAGCAAAACAAAGACACACACAAACACACACACATACAAAAAAAGCCCACACGAGACAATGGAAAACCTAAGAAGAACTTTGAACCAAGAACATCGAATTAAATTGTAAATGCAAAAACAAACAAACAAAAACAAACAAAGAAAGAAAAAAGGATAAACCGAAAAATCAGAAACTCTTAAATAGGTATATATATTGTATGCAAAAGATATGTAAGCAACCATTTCCAGCAATTTTTTTTGTGTATCAACTAAATGTCTAACAAATTAAGAAGAATGTTTGCCGTACCAAAAAATAGATGAGAATGAGAATGGGAATGGGAATGAGGAAATAGGAGGAGCAGGAGCAGTAGCAGGAGGAGGAAAACAAAAACAAAAACAAATAAAATATGAGAACAAATCAAAGTAAAGTGGTAGAAGTAAAGTAAATGAAAACTTTCACTGTGCCAAAAAGTTTCAAGTACCTCATAATTTAAATAAATATTAAAGAAACAAAACAAAAGAAAAAACCAGCAACTAATTACACCGATAAACAGCCCACACAACCCCACCCACTCCCTCCACACACACACACAATATCCTGACACACCTTCACCACACACACACACACATACAATACATACATACAATACATATATGTATATCCCCGAAACGAAATGAGTCTAGACAGAAATTGTCAAAACGTATGAATACATAGAAGCTGAAAGCGAAATGTTAACTAAACCTTATTTATACATTTATCTGAAGAATGAGTGGAAGAAGGCTACCGAATATTTGGTAGCAGGATTTAACTGTACGATTAGAGCCAGCGCATTGGAGAGATATATCTACCCATCTATCTATCTATCATCCACTTTGGGATACTTTCTTTCTCCTGAATTTTTTAATTTTTGATCTTTAATTCATATTCTTTAACAAACCCACACAGTTCTGCCTAACTAATTAAGTGTTCAATTGTAGTGAATATCTCTAGATATATATATGTTTGTGATAGTTTAACAAATTTACTGCATCGTTTGAACTCTATTGAACTCTGAACTCTGCCCAACTCTATTTTAAAACCTATATTTCTATGTACATTTTGAGTGAAAAGACAAACGAGACCATTTTCTGCTTATACCACATTTTGTTCGATTGTGTGTCAGTATGTAAAGCATCAAAGATCAGGGCCACTAGCAAATGTTAGAGTTATAGTTCTATTATTATTATTATTATTATTACTATTATATATTGTAGTTTTTCTTAGGATTATAATAATTAATTTTGTGAATCTTTCAATGAATATTTTGATTTGGGTCTGTGTCAAACGTGGACCTAAAGATTCAGCTTTAGTTTTCTTTTGGGTATTCGTGCTGTTCGATTTATATTTTTTATTAGTTTTAGCCAACAAACAAAAACAAATGCAACAAACAAACAAACAAAAACACTGCCTTTTGTAAACACACACACAAAAAGAAACCAACAAAAATGCAAAAATTTTAAAACCCATTTTTAGGTTATTCCTCCAATTTTTTTTATTTAAATATTACACACTAAATTTAATGTTTTTTTTTCTATTTTGTTAACATCACAAATGCCGCAATCTTTTTGGGGGAAAAACTTCTCTCTGTATATTTCGTTTTTATTAGTTTTTCCACTTTTGTAAGCTTTGAATAAAGATTTTTTTTAACCACAACTACAACAATCAGCTGTGAGCTATGTATGTGAATGGATTAATAAATTATAATTATTATTATTATTATTACAACTATGACAAATATTATTATCAATTTTTTTGGATTTATTATTTGATAGTATTTATTAATAAAGTTTTTTTGCAACGATTCTTTTTGTTGGACTTTTTCGTTTATCGGGCACATCCGTCGCACTAATTCAAACACATCCGATATTATCCGTCGATTTCATACTTTATGTAAACCAAAAATCCTTAAGCTTTTCATTTCGTAGTTGAAAAATGCGCCTTAAAAAAATTGTAGGAAATTATGGTAAGGGAAATAAGCGAAATGCGAATAACAAAAAAAAAATAAAACTAAAATTGAAAATAATACTTGAAAATTCCATTTCGGTAAAAGAAAAATACTTTAGGAACACCAGACGAAGGAAAGCAATATTAACAAAATTAAAAAAGAAAACCAAAATTTAAAACCAAACTTATAGTAATTTTTTCTTAGGTGTGTGTGCAAGTAAATGTTGATACAAAAATTAAAAAATAAAAAAACAAAACCAAACAAAAAACAAAGCCCATAAGCGGCAGAATAACCATCAGAAACAAAACCAAAAAAAAAAAAAAAACTCTTAATGATAACAAAAATTGAATAGAAATACTTGAATTTTTTTGTGAATGTGCTGAGAAGGAGATAGAAGGAGCAGAACAATTGATTTTAAGCCAAAAAATTGGAGGGATTCAAGACTCTTATTTCGTATATACATACATATACATATATTACAAATTTACCATATATATATATATACATATATATATATATATACACATACATACGCACATATATATATATATACAGACTATGTATATGATGTGAGATGTGAGCAAAGGTGTAAGCGAGGGTTTTTTTTAAGGGCATTGACAACATGCAGGAAAAATACGTGTAACAGCAAATTAAATTACAAAATCCAACAACGAAAAACTTTTGGCATTAACAATTAATGCATTTTTAAATAATGATATTTATTTATATATACATAGAGTTAGGTGCCCTGCAGCGACAGCAACAGCGACAGCAAACAGCAACAGCGACAAGGAGATGAAGGCTAAGTGGGAATGTCCGTTGAATGTCAGATAAGAACATAAGAGAATCCAAATATTATACGATATATAGAATATATCTATATACAGATACATAAATGTACATGTGGTTTTCGGTGTCTATTACTTATATAAATAGATATATATACATTATATATACATACATCATATTATATATACATGACGTGCATATTTTGAAACAAAACAAAAACCCACAAAAAAAAAATAGAAAATATAAATGTTGTTCATTTAACTATTAAACGGAAACAACTCAACCCAACAAATACTATATGTACTCGTAAGTATATATATATTTAAACCAACGGTATTCCCCTCTCCCACACACAAACAACACACCAACACACACACTCGTAGAGAAGAGGCACCCTGCGACAGTCCAAGACTAAAATTTTCTTTTTCTTTTTTTTACATTTCGATGATTTCTTATCAAATTTCCGCTTCTCTTTCTATGAGGAATTTCTTTTAATATTCCATTTGTATCCTTTACTCATTTTCCAAAAGAAAGCTTCGTTATTGAAGCTCTTTCGATTGTTTTCCTAGCTGTTTCGATTATCGTTCAATGATTTTCGAATCGAAT